TGTGACAGAAAGGATGGAGATACTCAGGACAGTGTCACACCAATAACCACGTCTCTAGATGTCTCTCTACCAACCTGGGAATCCCTAATGGGTAAATATCACCTACTGAACTTATTTAAATTCCATTTCAAAACCATAAACTATTACATGTAATATTTAGTTTTGCCTTAACTTTAAAATTATCTGAATGCAAATGAATGACTTTAAACCTGCATGAATTTGTTATTTCAAATTATGTGAAAAATCTCCCAAGTAATAAAAGTTCATTCTCCTTCCCCAGAAAGGGATCTGATAGACAGCATTTTCTTATAAGCAATAAATTTAAAGCAACTTTTCAAAAAAGTTTTTAGATAGTAAGACTTGTTCATTGAATAAAAGGTGTAAATGTATAGTTGTTGTAACTAGTTAGCTATTCCTTAAATACCTCTCAAATTCATCTTCTCTTCTCCAATCTTGATATCACTCTCCTGAGGTAGCCTCATATAATCTTCCATAATTATAACAAAGTCCTGATGTTTCCTGCTTCAAGTCACTTGTCCTTCAAATCTGTCCACCTGACTCTTGGCATAGTGATGCCTCCAAGACATATACACGGCAGTGCCACTTAATCCCCCTCTGTTTCCTGACCCCCAGTCATTACCATGACATGTAAACCCTTTACCTATCTTTCAGGATCTGAATTATGTCTTTTTAAATGTCATTAATAATTGTAATGAAGAAGAAGAGAAGGAGGATGAGGGGGAAGGTAGAGGGGAGGAAGAGGGAAGGAGGAGGAGAGGGAGGAAGAAGAGTGGGGGAGGGAGGGAGGGACTGAGCAGTTGCCAGAAGATGTTCTAGGTGCTTCGTGCTGATACCCTGTTCTTCACAAGGGCGTTCCCCAGGATCTAACCAAGCTGGCACCTGGATTGCTGACTTGCACCCTCTATAATGGTGAGAAATAAATTTCTTTGTTTATAAGGTACCCATCTGTGGTATTTTGTCATAGCATCCTAAACAGGCAAAATTCAAATGCCTAAAATCTTTGAAATTCTCAGAGTTTGACATCAACAAAAATACTCTCTAAGGAGCTCAAACTAAAATTAGGTACTGAAATTACGTCACCACAGAATGCATTTGAAATATAAATATATCTATGTGTATACATATGAAGATACAGACATACACTTGCATTCCATGTATGGACTCTGGGGAAAGTGGTCGGTGTTTAATCTTCCCAATGGAAACCACATGGATGAACTTTTCAGAGCATCTGCTAATAATTCCTCTAATCTGTAATGGATGAACCATATATCACCTTCTCAAGAATTTGGTCATACAAGTTATTGCAAGTTCTACCTGAGAAAGCTGAGTTATTGAATGTATATATGATGAAATAATTTAACAAATATCTAATTGCTGAATTAATTTTTATTGACCCTCTACTAGACTCATATGGCAGGAACAGTTACTACACTTGGAGGTTCAGAAATTTGCTTCTCCCCTAAATTGGGTCTTCTTGAGGATTTTTTTTTTTTTTGAGATCTATTTATTTGTATGACAGAGAGAGAGAAAGCAAGCGACTGTGAGCAGGGAGAGGGACAGAAGGGGAGGGAGAGAGAATCTTAAGCAGACTCTGTGCCCAGCCCTGAGCCAGATGTAGGACTTGACCCCAGGACACTGCGATCAGGACCTGAGCTGAAACCAAGAGTTGGATGCTCAACCCACTGCAACAGCAAGACTCCCTGAGGAAATGATTTTTAACTTTCTACCTAGAACATACTGCATAGTAGTTTCTCCTAATATATATCTATATACAGTACACACACACACACACACACATCAGATATATATGTTTAACAATTATTATTTACAATTAATTATTTAATATATGATCTGTTAGAGCATGTATAATATTTATATATTATGTATTCAATAATAATGCAGAATATATTGATATAATTAAGAACAATTTATATATATGTGTGTGTGTGTGTGTATATATATATATATATATATGAATAGATTTCTAGTATTCTTTTTAAGTTGACACTGTACAATATGACAAATTGTGATATTCACAACCCAGCTTTCTTTGGTCATTATCTTGTACAAGCGAGTTTATATTAATGCTTCGTACACATGGACACGTCACTTGATTGTGTAAGAGTCAAAGCAAAAAATGAGACCAGGAGAGTCTATAATCATTGAGAGAATTAAGGTTTCAGTCAAAGATGAGCTTACTACGTAAACTCCAACTGACACTGGGAATTGATTTCAGTTTTCTATCCTATTTTATTTCTTAAAAGTTTGCAAATCAAGTCAAACACACAGATTGAGGCAGATCAGCGCTCCTTATCTAGAACTCTACGTTCATGCTTCTACCAAGAGTCATTGTCTGGACGCCTTTGCATAACTGTCCTTCCCTCTTATGCTCAATATGTAATATACCTTCATCACCATGTGCTTAGTCGGGAAACCCCCTTATTTGGAATGTCTCCCAAGGAATCAAATTAAGCCTAATTATACTTAATGGCAATGACTGCTTCTTAATTTGGATGGTAATTCTGCTTAATTGAGATGCCTTCAGGTGTCTAAGTGGTGTTCTAGTAAAGAGTAGTGGTGTGCATGAGAGCATCAACCTGCAATGTCTTGTTTCTTCTCTGAACATTTCACCAAAATAAAGGAAAAAAAGACAAAGAATTTAAGGAAGCAATGTAACACAAGATTCCCAAAATTTAATGTGTTCATTGTTGAGTGTTCAGAATCAACAAAATCTGTATGAAATCATGAGAAATATCCATGTAAATGTATGCAAAGATGAGACAGAAACGTGAAACTTCTAAAATGAGAAAAATGTGTCAATCTAAATGGCATACATTCATTATTTTACTGATTTTTTTTAGAGTTGGGCCAAGTCGAAAAATCAAATTCAAAATGTCAAAGAACACACTTCAAGCATTTTAACAAATTTTTAGGCTACTGGAGTCTGCTAAAACAGGAAAATAATGGGGTCTAAAGCACATCATAAACAAAATATGAATCTGATGATAACCAAAACCTCTTTGACATTATGCTTGTGTGCATGTGGTAGGCACACTTGTTACCACAACCATCAGCCCCGCCTTCTGGCTTCCAGAGAGTTCTTTCCTCAGGCTCCCTGGGAGCTGGAGCATGGGCGTTTGATTTAGTGGGACCTGGAGAGAAGTCTGCTAGGACATTCTAGAAAACTTCTTCCATTTTTGGGAAAGACAAGCCTCATTTCTTCATTGATCATGATTATGTCACAGCCATCTTGTGACCTGAGGGTGGGGGTGGGCACTGTTACCCCCCTAGATACGGAGGAGGAAACACCGGAATCATCAACGTTTCTGAGCTCCTAAATTAAACCTGGAATCTCGCTGGCTCTGCCCTTTTCTTATGTGAAATAATGTTTCTTAAAAACTTCTTCTAATACCTACAGCCAAAAACATTGTATTGAGATACTGAATAACCTATGATTCCATTTCCATATGGCACCCCTCAAGGTGATAATGGAATATGGAGGTGCGGACCTAAGTGACTCTCCTCCCAGAGAGAAGAGCTAATGAAAGGCCATCACAGGGCAGTGGAAAGACACCCAGGTCCTCATCCTCGGGAGGTGCAAAACAGCTGTGAAATCTTTAATGAGTAGTTTACATCCCGGGGATCTCGGTCTTGTGCCTGTCAGGTAAATGGTGTTTAGACAATAGGAAGCTTCCTTTTAGATAGGGATTTCGATTATTCTAGTATGTTTGGGAAGGATAGAAACTCAGATATATAGGTATATCTGTAGGATAAAAGTATTCATGATTATTCATCTGTGATCTAGATTTAAATGAATTCTGAAAATACTGGAAGGGTTTCAATCAAGTTTCCTGACGATTTAGCTTGGAGTCACTGCCTGTCCTATCAGAACACCATGGGTTCACTGTTTCTTCCATACAAAGGCCTTCAGTACTTTGAAGTTCTTTACCTGACACATAGAATTGCAAAAATCCCTACCATTCTTTATAGTGGAAGCCCACTCCACCCTCCAAATGACACAGGGAGGAAAACACGCCATCAGCATGACTCTCTTGACTCTTCGTGGCTTTTCTGCATGACATCATATACATCCCAGATCTCAGCAGCGTACAACACACTTCTGAATTCCAAATTTACATCTATCAGTTATGTCCACTTGAATGACTATACAGCAGGCTCCTCACTCGCATTATGCCCAAAACCAAACTCATTATCTCTTCCCATAAGAAAACAAAACAAAAACAAAAAACAAAAACACTGGTTCCTGAGGACCCTTCCCTGGTTCAGAGTAGGGAGAACCTATACTATTCCAGACAAGAACAATCTGGAGAATAAAGGAAGGTCATTATTAACAAGGGTGCCGGGACCACAGATGATGCAGGGCAGGGTATCCTCAGAGGGGCTGAACACATGCTCATTCTGGTAAGGGATTCACCACCACCTCCAGACCCATTCTTGATATTCCCCTGAGTCCATTTCCTTCATAGTTACCATACTGTATCCTTGAGACTTGCCAAGAGAACAGATCTTAAAAGTTCTTACCATAATAATTAAAAAAACCCTATAATTATGTGAGATAAAATACGTTAACTGTTTTGCTACATATATGTGTGTGTATACATACATAAATACATATATATATATATATATATATATATATATATATATATTTACATTATACACCCTACAGTAAAACAATATTAGGTCAATTATATCTCAGCAAAGCTGGGGGAGGGGGAGAGCACAGAACCTCCAGATCATTGGGAGGCAACCGAATGAAGGACACTCACTTTGTATCTAATTCTGGATGGGCTTTCTGATAAATGTGGATCTATCTACACAAATGCAGCGTGAGCTTTTCCCTTCGAAAGGGAACAGTGAGGGTGTATGACATCTGTGCGGCTGTGTGTCATAAACAGCCGTCTGAGCTGGAGTATTGATGGCATCAGCTTCGCAGAGGTGGAAGCCGAGAGCCTTACCTTGTCTGGGTCTGTCGTGGTGATGACCCACACACAGTGAGCATTGTCCTCATACTGCACCGGGTAGTTAGGGGACGTAATGACGCCACTGGGTCCACGCAGATTGGAGCCACATGTTCTAGCTAGAAACACATAGAGATGGTATTATTTTCTGCATCATTTTATCAGTGTGGTGAAGACATAACAGAAACATGGAATGTCAAATTAACTAATCACTAATTATGATAAAAAATGGTTCATGAAACTCAAGTTGGTGAGGGAAGTTTGCTCAGCCATCTGGACCCTTGTTTGGGACTTGGAACGTGCAACAGAACCCAAGGCATTACCATTCACAGAATGACCATTTTCCTGATGCTACCATGTACAGTGTCCAGTCAAACTGGCCCATCTCCATCCCACTCTGACTCAAAGAGAGTCTGCATGTACATGCGGCTGGACATGAATGTCGTGGAGGGAAAGCAAGTGCAGGGGCTCCGGAGACCCCCACTATGCCGTCTTCTGTAGGACAATTTCGTCTTCTGCACTAAAAATGAGGATGGTGGGACAGATCATCTCAAAAGTCTCTTTCAAGCTTTAGATTCTATTCTGCAATCAACTATGCAAATTTCTTTACAGCACAATGCAAACAGGAACTTCAAATAGAGTCGACAATTTAGAGAAAGAAAATAGACATAAGGACTCTGAAAGGAAAAAGGAAAAAAGAAAAAAAAAGGACCTTAAATTGAGAGACCAAGCAAATTATAGAAATGACATAACCCACAAATATGACTGTTTTTTACTATAAAACAAGGAGTTCAACTGACCTCCATTTTAAGAAAGGTTTGTTTTTGGTTTTTGTTTTGTTTTGTTTTGTTTTTTTCAAATCAATAGATAATTTTTAGAAATCAAGTGTTGGCTTGCAATGCAACCCAGACTTCAATTCACATTAATAATTTGAAGTGGGTTTGAGAAAAGAGCAGGAGAAACTAATTTCACAAGAAAGAACTAATGTAAGGGAAGCTCGAGTTCATTTTTCTTAGACTTCATATTACACAAACTGATTAAACTGTCACCCAATAAAAGATTAATCCTAGTCAGGACCCATCTTGCCTTTGTTCTTTTTCTTGGCTGAGCACCCACTCCAGGTCAAGGATTGTTCTGGGAGATTCAGTCACAAAATTGAGAGACAGGATTCTGACTTCCAAGGGCCATCTTATTGCTGAAGGGTCAGGAGAAACCATTTAATTGAGCTTTTCCTAATTGCCCCCAGGAATATACACTTCTTGTTCTATGTATCAACATAATAGTGAGACAAATCATACCTATTCCTGATGATAGTTCTTTATTGTAATGATTAACTTACAGAGCTATCTTTCCTACAAGGTTGTGAATTACTTGACCTTGAGAAAACGTCTTTCCCTTATACTCAGCACCATGTCCGCTGTCCACAATTGCAGACATAAAAATGTGAGAGTAGACAAATTTTCAGTGGTTCAATACTTTGAAAGTAATTAGCTAAAAATTCATCTGCTATACATTGAATAACAAAAACATGGGGTAATCAACATTTAAAATACTGGCATTTACTTTGCAAATGGATGAGATTCCTTAGATGAAGATGCATAAAAGATGGTCTGGTTTTCAAAATTCTGGTGTGTCCTGGCTCAAAAGGTCCTCCAACAGAGAGCTAACTGCCCACATACGATTCCACCTCAGCACTCAAGGACTCTAATTTTAGGAACATGTTCTCAAAAAAGATCGTGTGCTTCAGATGGGAAAGCTTCCTAAAGCACCTTATTAACAGCATTCATGAGGAAACCTCAGAAGAAAAGTTATCATCAATAAATGTGGAGTTGCAATATCTTTATCTAACATGCTCATTCCTGGCTCAATTTCGCACCGAAAGGCTGATGGAAGCATAATGTTCTGTTACTTGATATTTTTTTACTTAATTTTGAATTAATAGTATCAAGGTGCCATTCTAAGGATTTCAAACTTCAAAACAACACTTCTAAAGAGTGAGTGAGTGAGTACAGTGGGGAACTAATTTGTTATATTCCCACTAACAACTTGTGCCCATCCAGCCATTAGCCCCAGCTGTCATTCTGATAGAAAGTTCACCAAATCTGACATTCCTTCAACAGCCTTGCGTCCCACTTGTCTTCTTTGAAGCTTGACCCTTAACTTGACTTATTCAAATTGCCTACCAGCTTTCCATGAAATTCATCTTACTATTGCTTGGGGAAATATGATTTTTAGTGATCATATATTTCAGTGAGATAACCATTAGTAAAATATTTATAGGAAAGCAGCACGTTTCCCCGAGTTTCATGCATACTAAGAACTGTGTTTCACATAGAGCGAGGGATGAATCCAGTCGCCTCAGAGACGTTTTTCACCAGAAATTGTCAGATTAATTCATAAAGTAATTTTTCTTTTTCTTTTTTGTCTTAGAAACATATCTCCATTTTTCAATGCATTTTTCCAATCTATTAAATTTAAGTATTTTTTAACCCCTACTTTTAATCAAGCCATCAAAATAATCAGCAAAAATGAGATACGTGGTGTATTCTGTTTCGATAATTAGAACAATTCCTAGCATTTGATCATTTTCCCCATAAATACTTGTTGTCATTTTTAAATAGTATAATGACTCTAAATAATATGATCTAACTATAGTTATTTAATTCTAATCCTCTGTTTTAGGAAACTGTTAGAACTTTAGCTAGTATCAAAGACTTTACCATTCTAAGTCTTCTCCATCCCCATCATCTGTTTCTTCCCCAAATGATGATACTGCCATCATCACACCAATTACTAATGACTCATTCGGTGCTGCTTTCCATATCACGGCCCTCCTGCCAATCACAGATAACCTTCAGACTTTCCACTGGCGACCACTCACAGTCCAACCATCCTTGTGCAGATCTTTATTGAATAATAATGATGCATTTTGAATTATCATGACTCTATGGATTATTATCCAGGGCCACACAGTGGCTGTCATGCAGACTGGGTATTATCTTTTGCATCTCCTCCAGTTGTCTGTTCCCCAGGGGTTTTTTTTTTCTACCCTGTGGTTCTGTGGCAGGTTATACAAAATGGCCAGCTCCCTGAATGTTAGGGCCAAGTAAGCCACACCGTTTGCTGTGTCACACCCCAAACTTCTTCCTCATCAGCGTCAAGCATAGGAAGGCTAAGATCCTTCAGATCCTCTGTCTATCATACGTCTTTTAAAACCTAATCTTTGTGCAGAATAAGAAGAGTCAGAGAAGAGCACACCTCAGGTGACAGAGGAACCAGAACTAAGTGCTCCACTGGCACGTGTCCCACAGGTGAGCAGCACACCCTACAGAGCTACGGGATGTTCGGTGTATGTGTTTCTGTACCCTGACCTCTCCTCAAGGTCATGTTCTGTGAGACGATGAGGGAGGGGCCAGCCTGCAGGGCAGGAAGGAAGAAGGGAGCTGAGGATCAGCCCAGCATGCAGAACCGTCTGTAGGAGGACGACTGGTTCCAGTTTATCTGCAAACCACATCTGTGCTGCTTTGCCAGTGGTTTTCCTGCTGTTCTTGATGAGGAACTCAACCAGTGCTGTGGACATTCAAAAAGCCATGCTATTATCTGATTCGGATGGCTAGAACTCTGAAGGTGTGTCACCTGGCCTGTCTCCTTCCACTCCTGGACTCTTAGCTGACTCCTCAGCGCATGCTGGGCATGGATCCTGTAGCTTTCCAGACAAGTACAAACTCGTTAGCTTAGCAAAGCTGTCGGGATGACGACAGAGCAATTGCACAGTGTCCTTGGAGGAGGGGGGCCTTCCTCCCCAGCACTGGCTTCTGTACTAAACAAGCATTCAGTGGTCCCCAAAGTATTTCATTGGCCAACATACTTAAGTAATGATAATACTGTAATATCAAACAAGATTTTATAGAAAGATTTAAAAATATTCCCTTAGTTGAAATGTATATGTATATGTTTATACATATTATAGTTGAACACCACTTTCTACTCATGCTAAGTCTCTCCCTTATCAAGATTTCCTGGAAATACAATGTCTAATATAAAGTAATACACACTTAAATGCTTAATAATGCTTAATAAATGGTCTTGGGTAATTGCTGTGACCTAATGCACAGCTAGTATTACTCAGCAGCTCTGTTCTAAACTTGGAAGCTCAAAGTTTACTTATATGTCATACGGTTTTAAAATTAAATGAGAATTCACAAAATGATAGTGGAAAATACATCAAGAGAGAAAGTGAACAGGGAGAAAAATGCTGATTTTGAAGGTAAATATATGCCATTTCTCTATTTATCAATGAATATTTATTAAGTACAAACCATATTTGTTTCACATAATTTACCTTATGTAATATGAAGTAATAATTTGTCTACTTATGTAAATTCAGTCCCAGGAATCGGTACTGTTCTATAGTAACCATTTAATTAATCAAGTTAATTGGAGGGGAATATTCTAATTGACTAAATTTAAATAAAGAGGTTACCTAGACTCACATCTGAAGTATGTTTCAAGCACATTAATAATATATTTGATACTCTGTTTCCTGCATGTTTTTAGGAGAAGGCATTGTTTCCAACAACAACTTTTATAGTTACTTCCAGATTGTCAACCACAGCAGAGAACGCATGTCCGAAAGGTTAGGAGTTGCTTTTCCTCATCACAGCTTAGTTCCAAGCCTGATTTATGCAGTTCCTAGACATCTAATCTTAATTTATTTCATATTACACCCCTCAGTCTATTCAATGAGTATAATAAAAGTAACTCCATCTGTGAGTGCTGTCAGGACTGAAAGAAGGAGATCAAGGAAGGCACTCAGCGTGTGGCCCAGTACATCACAGGCTCTGTATTACAGAAATACATGTGACATTCTTATTGTGAGTATGGCGCAGTATCAGGCATGGGCAATAGAGCAGAGAGAGAACAAAACCGAGACCCTTGCCTTCCTTGGACAATTCAATGCATAGACATACGCCATCTAATCTAACATGGACATAGCAGCTTTCTAGGAAGGTCTGAGTAAGGGTTGGCAGAGTATCTGGAAAGGGCTTACTCGGGAGGATGGTGGCCATGGAAGGATTTTGGAAGAGAAGATGTTTGAAAAAAGGTGCAAGACAGACAG